CACGGCACACGAGGAGTTGGGTGGCCAAGCATCACAGGCGGTCTCACGCACTCACGCACTCACTCACTCACGCACTCACTCACTCACTCACGCACTCACTCACTCACGCACTCACTCACTCACTCACGCACTCACTCACTCACTCACGCACTCACTCACTCACTCACGCACTCACTCACTCACGCACTCACTCACTCACGCACTCAATCACTCACTCACTCACGCACTCACTCACTCACTCACGCACTCACTCACTCACGCACTCACTCACTCACTCACGCACTCACTCACTCACTCACGCACTCACTCACGCACTCACTCACGCACTCACTCACTCACGCACTCACGCACTCACTCACGCACTCACTCACTCACGCACTCACTCACTCACTCACGCACTCAATCACTCACGCACTCACGCACTCACGCACTCACGCACTCACTCACTCACGCACTCACTCACGCACTCACGCACTCACTCACGCACGCACTCACGCACACCCCTGACCATAACTCATCGCACAATGCGACAACGCGCAACTTGAGTCAACAGCTCCACTTACGTGGCGATGCCGGATCTACTGTCTGCTATGAAGAAGGGCCATTGCCCGAAACGTCGCCAAGTGTCTACTTTGTTTGCTTTCAGGGCCACACACGCACACTGTGTGTTGTTGACGGACGTGTTGAGTTGTTTGTTGGAACACTCATCCCACCCACTCCACCCCCTCCAGCCAATGCGACGATTGTAAAGAGGGATGTTAATGGGCGCCAGTTCTATATTAACAACATTACTTACTTTAATTCCTGTGTACAAAAAACATAAATTGAAGAATGTATTTCATTGCAGAATATAAATAAATATATTTAAGTTTTGACCAAACATTCAGGCCGTGGTGGTTGTGTTGGCGGTGGTGGTGGTGGTGGTTAATGCGTCGTAATTACGGAGCGTTCGCCGCTGCGCCACTTAGGAATGTCGTCACAGCATTGTTAAGTTGACAAAACAAATGATGTATAAAATGCGACGAATTAAATAATTTAATAATTGCCCCTAATAATTAAATAACCCCCCCCACGCCCCGGACTTCTAATTGAACTTATTACTGGGACGGTTGCGGCACGCGCACGCGCGCGCGCTCTGTGGTCCGGCTGGTGCTGATTGGACCCGGAGTAATTACAGCAATTAGCTTCCTCGCCTCTTCACCCACACAGAAGACAAATGCAAAGATCCCACATATAGCCTTAGCGTACTGTTGGAACAAGTGCTGTAGGCGAGCATCTATCACGGCCGGCACGGCACACGAGAGAGGTGGAGCGCCAGCACCACGCCCGGTCGCCTTTGTCTCCCCAGTGGGGATGTTTTACACACCGCACCAGCTACTTATTTGAGGCTGAGTTGACCTAGAGGAAGCCCAGGACTGATTCAGATAATCGTCACTGGTGTTGATGGCCGTGAGCAGGAATCTAACTCGGGTGGCCGGGTTCGCTGCGCAGCGCGCTAACCGTGACACTATGCACACACCAATGACAAAGAAACCCCTTATAGCCTGAACACTGTCGGGACAAGTGCTGTTAGAGTGCACCTATCAAGGCGACACACATATATGCGCGCATGCATATACGGAGAGATGCGCGTTCTATTAAAAAAGAAACGAAAGTGTGATTGGGCAGGACGCGTCACGGCTATAAGCGCCGATGGTGAAGATGAATCACGGAACGCCAGCCAAGGAATGGATCGGTATCCGGGAGCACGTGCGCCGGCTTGCCGCTAAGACGCAGCAAGCTGGCACAGTAGGGAGCGCAGGTGGTGCATCTGCCAGTCATCTCGTTCACTAAGTGGCGGTGACATCGCCAAAGTTGTGCCAGGCTAAGTGCGCTTTGAAAGCATTACGCAAAGCATGGAAGACTCCCTGGCAGGAGGACGTCACGTGACGGATCCAGGCGCTGTGCATTGACTTACTGAGATGACTCGCAGATGCTCCACCTGGACTTCCCACTGTGCCAACTCTCTGCGTTTTACCCGTCCTCCGCTCCACACGTTGTTCTGAGCGTCACTCATCCTCCCTCCGTTGTTGCTGGAGGGCGACTGCCTCTAACTGCCCAGTAGCAGCGTCCTTCACGAGCCTCCTCCACAAAGGTCGATCTTGACACCGTTCGTGCCGGTTATCAGCAAGTTCACTCACACAAGCTCACAACTACAACGATCCCCGTTTTCACCCTCTCTAACCTGTACCGCTCATTTCCACCTCCTTACATCGTCACAAACAACGTCATCATCTTCATTATATCCGTATGAACACCATCAGCAGCATCAACTACATACCACTATTACCACCACCATCATAATAATCCAACTCCATAATAATATCATCACGAACATGACCATCATCACCACCGGAAGGTTAAGACGACCACCAACATCAGCTCCACACCAGCGATAAAGTCACAATGCGCAGGGTCACGGGGTCACGATGACCCCCCCCACTCCACTCCCCGCTCTCACCTGCGCCAGGTGCGTGAGTGCCGAGGCGAGCATCCCACTGAAGTCTCTGCCCACCTGCGTGGCGACGCGACCCAACTCGGGCCCTAGGGGATCCGCACCTCCTTCTCGGGCACATCTTTAAGACAGGAAGAAGACGAGGAGGAGGTTGTGACGGGTGGGACACGTGTGCAGGATGGAGGAGGGGGAGGAGGAGGGGTAGGAGGGGGAGGAGGACATTGGAGTGGCACCCATAGGCATTTAAATGGCGCGGACTGACTTTGCAACTGCTTCGGGGTTCGAGCAGAAGGAAGGAAGCGATGGCGATGTGTGGTCTCATTATTAATGGCAGTGCGTGTGGTGGCCTCTAAACAAGGCGACTCGTTGGTGGCGTGAGGCTCACTCACCTCAGCCCCAGGCTTTCCAGCTTCCGACACGAGTCCAGGAGGCGAATTTCATCCTAAACATACAGCATCATCATCACCTCCAAGTTAGCGACACCAAAATCACAATCAACTCCATGCCATTATCATTATCACCACCATATCAGAATAATTCGTATTATTACCTCCATGATGGCATCATCACCATTATCATCGCCATCATCATGACGTTCTCATCAGTAGTATCATCACTCGCATCATTGCAATCATTATCTCCATACCATCATTACCGCACGCATCATCCCTTAAGCACCAGCATCATTACCATCACTATCACCTACATAACAGCATCATGCCCTTAATGAACTCCATGTCAGGATCGTCATTATCATCACCACCAACATCATCATCATCACCAGCACCATCACCGGCAGCTTCAGCACTTACATCATCACAGTAACCGAGGCGCTGCTTACTGCTCACCCACCTCCCTCCCCCCCCTCCCGCCATCCTCCTCGTTCACCCCCTGCCCCCTGCTTCCCCCTCCCCCCTCTCTCCCACTCCCCTGGGCGCATTGACTCGACGCGGCTGGGGAGGTCGCGCGCATTTGCGTCACGGCGGCGCGCGCGTGACACGCGAGGCGGAGCGCGCCCGCGTGCACGCGCCTCCACGGGGCCCCTCCCCTGCTGGCCTCCACGGAGGCGGGGCGGTGACCCCCCCCCGGTCTGTGCGAGCGCGCCCCCTCGAGCCGGCGGAAGAGGCGCGCGAGCTCGGCGCTCACGTGACGCGCACGACGCATGAGCGCGCAGCACGCGGGGGGCGCGCCCGAGCCCCCGACGAGACCCCCTGAGGAGCAAATCCCTAGGGGGTGGGGGGTGGGGAGTGGGGCCGCACGTGGTCTGTAATCTAACACTGCGTGTTGTGGTAGCAGCAAGGGTTGGTGGATCACACACAGATATATGTGTGTGTGTGTATATCACTGCCACCGTGGCTGCAGCATCCACAGATCATTTGCTCTGAAAGATTGGTTCAGGAAGGTGGACATTACCGAACAATCTGGAAGAAAAACTGAAAAATGTGCGAAGAAGTATGGAATAAGATGCGGGCCTGCAATTTACATCGAGAGACAGAGAGATGAACACGTGGATTCACAGCGCATGACCAAGCTGGAGACAATTTTGACTTCTTATATAAAAAAAACACTCCAAGTCGGCTTTGGCAGGACACGTCATGGATAGAAGGGATGAATAGTGGCCGGTGGTCGAGACTACCGATGGAGTGGCAGCAAAAGGAGGCAACTCGCCCGAGACAACTCGCGGCGGTTGTGATAAGTTGAGATCACGTGTGGGAGTCACGTGGATTGTGGCACCATCACAAGGCCGTAAAGGGTGACAACGACGCGGGGAGGTCCTCATCGAGCAGTAGATAGAACATGGAAACGTATTATGAATGCAATAATGATCATAGTAACAATACTAATTCACTATAATAGTGTATTGAAACAATAGAGTGATCTATAATTACAATGTATAATTATATATAATATATTCACAATTTTACTTAAAATTATATATCCAATTTTTTTTATATGTATCAACACCTTGAGCATCACGATCATCGTCATCATTGTCCACTCTTCGTATGAATCATCATCATTTGATACCGCTGGTTGAGGCCGTCGAGCGGCAATGCCATTGACGACAGCCGCCCGGGTGATCGATGGAGCTCGAGATGAAGACAAACACCCACGATGAGAATGAAGGACGATGCCATCGATACAACAACGAGGTGACGACGGTGGTGAATGTATCCACGTGAAGACGAGATAGACAATGACTATGCCAATAGCGAAGGTGTCTACATGAAATTGTTGATGACTATAACGAAACAATTCACGTGAGGATCTAACGATGATGATAATGATGATGTTGTTGTTGCAATCGGTAGTGGTGGTGGGGTGGGGATGATAGGGAGGGGGTAGATATCCCCTCTACCCCTCTCCCCTCCTCCCTCCCCCACCCAGACCCCTCCTCTTAAATCCCCGCGGGTCACAGTGGGAGAAATCGATCACGGGTAAGTTTGGGTGAAACTCTTCTTCCTCGGGGAACGGAATATTACGCGGTTATTGAAGAGCAGAACAATGGAGACAACTTAATATTGAGATTGGTTCTGCCCGGGGTGACGCCGCTGCCGTCACGTCGCCCCCCCCCCCTTAACCTTCTCCCCTCCACCCCGCATCACCCCCCCCCTCCTCCTCCATCTCGCCCGAGATTGTTGTGATATTTGCTGGCAGGGAGGGGGGAGCGCTCGTGAGTTGAGCCGAGGTCACCACAACTCACGAAGGTAATTCCGTGCCCTCGCGATCCCACTTTGCCGAATTGGGCCGGGCAGGTGGGGTGGGTGGGGGGTAAACAAAAGACAATAGACGCGAGCCCCCACCCCCACCTCCTCTAATAGTTGTGGATTGACAGACAGGAGGCAGGAGCGTTGTTTATTACCTCCACCCACTCCCCTCGGCTACAGCGTCACTCGAAGTGAGCGGTTCGGCACGCGTGGCGTATCGAACGTTCCGCTCCCATTCATTGTGGTCGCACGTGCTCTTCTCGCGCGGCCGCTGCTGATGATCATGATGATAATCATACCAATAATGACGATTATGACGACGATGATAACCGCCGTTATGATATCAACAATGATATCGACGACGATGTCGAAGATGCTCACAATTCAGTGCTACTGCTGCTGATAAATTTGCTACTACTGATGACGATGGCTACTGACCCGCCTGGATGTCCCCATCCTCCCAGCTCCGGGTGCCGTCTCCGCCCAGCGCCTTCCCGTCCATCGTGGCCATCGCCTCCGCCTGCGTCTCCACGCGCAGCTCCGCGAGCCACTGGCGAATGGGGCTCGCCTCCGAGGGGGCCCTCTCGACCCCCTTCCCAACCCCCATCCCCCCCGTGCCTGCAACGACAGGGCATCTCCCTCGTCACGGCCGTGGTGGCATCTCGGCCGCGGTTACGATGTCTCTGCGCGGCCACTGGCAGTGGATTATCATCAGATAAGAACTTGACACGAGTCGGGTTTACCGAGAACTTCCCTCGTGTTAGCCGTGTCAATAGATCGGTGCGGCTGAGGTTGTTTGCTACCTGAGGTGGCACCGATGCCCCGCGTTGGCATCTCCTGAGACCTGGGTTCGGGTCCAGGCAGCTGCCCACCAACACAAAGAGATTTCCATGACTGGTTGGTAATCAAGGAAAGCGCATTTAACGTAATTTGTAATTCATATCTAAATTCTGTGGTGACTGAAGAGTGGGTGAGGGTGCAGAGTCTTGAGTGAGTTGAGGACTGCATAAAGTGGAAGCTGTCAGGGCGTGTTTTTGTTCAAAATACGTAACTCATATAATAAACAACAACCAACCAACCGCTGGTCACCACAATTAGCACAACCACTTACTCACTACCAAAGACAAATATCACCAGTATAGCTTTCACAGACTGTTGGGGCAAGTGCTGTTCGTGAGCACTCATGAAGGTCGGAATGACACACGAGGAGGTGGGTGGCCAGCACCACGCCCAGCCGCTTTTGTCTTCCAAGTAGCGATGTTTACACATCACACCAGGTACTCATTTGAGGCTGAGTCGACCTAGAGAAAACCCAGAATCGGTTCAAATAATCGCCACTGGTGTTGGTTTTGAGTGGGAATCGAACTTAAGTCACCGGGTTCGTAGCACATCGCGCTAATCGCTGCGCCACCGCTCCCTATCACTGCCACCACCAACACCACCGATCGCTCTCGGATCACCTACTATCGCAATCCACCACCACCAATATTCACGGTAAACACCACGACCACCACCTCCACTCTCAATCCACCACCACTGACACCTCACCGACCAACCTTCTACCATCTTCAATTCCTCACCACCACCACCGCCCCCTGGCCATCACCACGACTCACCAACACCTTGGCCACCACCACCAACCACCCAACAGTCACTACAACACACTCCAACCATCCACCCTCCCACACATCCACCACTCACCCGCACGCTCACCCGCACGCTCACCCGCACGCTCACCCGCACGCTCACCCGAACGCTCACCCGCATGCTCACCTATATGCTCACCCGCACGCTCACCCGCACGCTCACCCGCACGCACGACCACACGCCCCGCATCTATATTCAGCCGCGGGCCGCTCGATACCCGGGTCGCGTACAGAGGGCCACAGACAACGGGAGTACAGAAGAGTGTGGATTAAACTCAACATTGTTTGCATAAAAATGATTAATTTACAATCAAATCACGATGTTTCCTCTCACTCCCCCATCACCATTCCACCTCCCCCCACTCCTGCCCCCCCCACCCACCCCCCCTCCCATTGCCTTGTATTTACTGACGATCGTATACTATTAATACGACTATTAATATTATAATTATTGTGACAATTATCGTTATGAATTGTGTTTTTTTCCCGAGCGACGCGGCGCAGGCGCCTGATTTAGGTGACGATTTGATTTCTCTTTCACGGGGGAGGTCACGGGGGAGGTCACGGGGGAGGTCACGCAGCCACCTCCGCGCCGCTTCTATCCCATTCAGGATCTGGCATTGTGCGCGGTGCTCGCGCGCGGAGTGTGTGGGACCTTTTGTTTTACACGCGATGCGTCCATTTCGCAAAGCGCCGCGTGGAGTGATCCTGTTCATTTACATATCCCTATTCATCGTGGAGATATATATACACACACACACATCCACACGTGGAGCATCATCTGAACGAGATCGTTGTGGGGTGAGGAGAGGGCTTTGTTGGGTACAGAGGGCTCGACCTCCAAAACACGAGAAGCAGAGAGAGAGACACACACAGGGAATCGCATAAAGACGCGTGAAAAAAAATTGAGTGGGATACTTTTTTTCCGTGTGAATAAAAGGGGTTGTTGTTGTTGCTTTCAGCGTCGTCATCGTCATTGTCGTTGTTATTATAATATCGTCAACAACAGCATCATTATCGTCAACAGCAGCATCATCATTATCAACAACAGAATCATCACCAACAACAGGATCATCATCAACAACGTCATGATTGGTGGCAGCCGCAGCAGCAGCTGTAGCAGTCAGGATTGTGGCGCCTGCATGCAAGATGATGATGATGTATTTCGCTTCATCGCATCTGCGACGGAGTGGCTGTCACGTCATCGTGAGTCATGATCAATCCACTGCTGAATGAAGGCCTGCTCAAGCAGTCGACATCTCTTACGATCCTGCGATGCGAACGATCCACCTAACGCCTGCGCACACGAGCGGATTGTCATCGCTCCATCTCCGCGGTGGGCGTCCTCCCAAGCGCCTTCCATCCTTTGGCAGCCACTCCGTCGCCAATCTCGACCACCCCCTCTCGCCGTGACGCGTCCCGCCCAGAGCCCACTTAACCACCTCAACTCGACGTCTTCCCTAACCCCTGCTGCACCGATTTCATTCGCAACAGACGCTCCAAGTTACACCGAAAGAGTTGGGTTCGTGACAGACTTACATTTATATTAACGACTCTGATCGTCTTATTAGCCAAGGCAAAGCGTTCTTCCAAAGCTTGGCTGCTGCACTTAGCAACAACCCGATGAGTCCACAGACAGAGCCTTGACCTCGGAGTCCTTAGAAGAGGGGGAGATCCCAAGATCTCAGGGACCTTGTTAGAGCGTCAACACGGATCTGTTCCTGTCGATATTTTGGGGCTCACCCATTATTGAGTGCCTTATAGGTCAGCAGCAGCGGGATCTTATAGTCCACTCGAAACTTCACTGGTAGCCAATGCACGATTGGCTACGTACGGTGCGAAAGAAGTTCAACAAACATACAGAAACGCATGCAAGAGAGTAGGTGTGTGATGTGCTCCAAATCGGCGTGCGTGTAAGTCAGTGGTTCCTCTTCTTAACCAGGGGGTGCACGCTGCACCCCTGGGGGTTTCGATATGCACTTTCTGGGGGTGCGAGACATGGCCAGAACTTTTTTTTAGAAGGTAAATAATCGAAACAAAAAAATAAGCACGGGCACGTAACAACTTACTTTGTTTCATCAACCCCTATGTAGTTATTGACATTCTACATCGCTTTAGCTATTGAGAAACAAAGGGGTGCGAGGCTCCAGTAAAGGTTATGAGCCAATGGTGTCAGGACGCCAGCAGCTGCCTTCTGAATGCACTGGAGTCTCCCCAGGCTGAGCGACTTTATTCGTCGTGTTCTCCCACAAGGGCGCCAACAATACATGTTATTCATTTATTCTCTCTATATATTTTTTTTTAATCCAAGCTAAGAGAAGCTAAGAGAGGCTGACTGATGACATCCGCAGCGAGGGACGATGCCAGCATCTCCCGGCAGCTGCCACGTGCGCTACTGGTGAGGCTCTCACCATTACCCCCCCCCCCCTTCCGCCCAGATAGGAGATCACTAAATAAATAAGCTAACAAACAATCATCAATCAATCACTCGGCTAATCTCGCAACATCTAAAAGCCATCGAACTCGAGGCTGCACCGAGGTCCGAGTTGTGTTAAACCATTATCGTGGTGAGCTTACACTTGGTCCACGCGATACTTTGATAGAGTGTAAAATATAGGCAGGTAAATTAATATATCATATTATACTGGTAGGAACGAAGTTGTAAACTGAGTGTACCAGCCTGCAATAGATTAATGTGTCCGTCCGTCCGTCCCCTTTCAATACTTTAACGAAGTGAAATGTCGTGCTGTTGGGTGTAAAATCAGCAATAGACAGCGCAGAGACTTGTCCTACCAGCCCACCCTGCAGGGACCTGTTTATAGATAGGTGAAACCTTGTTACTTTGCCTTGTACTCTAGTGGTAGTGCCTTACGCCGACCATCCCTACTCCACGGCAGCCAGCGTTCTGGAAAACATCGAGTGGGAAATGAAGCCCTGAAGCACAGACAAAGACAAAGAATCCCCACCCGTATAGCCTTAACAGACTCTTGGGACAAGCGCTGTTAGAGAGTATCACCTATGAAGCACACACACACACGCAGACAACATGTGCGTACTGTATATAGGAACAAAGAGATAGAAACGCGAATAAAATTAACCCACGCTGGGAGCGACGCGCAAGGGTTAACGCTTTAACACAGCAACGGCGACAGCAGCGACTTACGTGCCACGGCTACGCGAACGGAGTGGAGTTCGCGTTCAGCAGCAGCATTAGAGGCGGCCACGCTCGTTTACTGCCGCGATCTTCCAGGGCACAAAACAAAACTCGCCACGACGATCAGAGACGGAGCGGGGCCCCGAGTGGATGTTTGTCCCGCAGTGTCACGAGTTCGCCGCTGCGTAAAGCGATGGGAGCGCAGCGCAGAAGAGGGTGAGACCCCCCCCGCCACCACCACCGCCACGCGTCTCCTCTCTCTCTCGCGAGGACACGGGAGCCCCTATCTTTGAATAATTAATTAATCTCCCCGGTAACCGGAAACCCGTCGGCCCGTGCAGCCGCTGATTCTCGCGTGGGGGTCCTCGCCCCGTGCCGCTCGCTCGCGACAAAGGCCCCGGCTCCGCTGGGAACACCGGGAAGCCAGCGGCGGACCCGTCACTTGCGTGTCGCAGCGTGTTGCACCACGCCGGGTCTTCAAGGTCGCGATGGAGAGCCGTCAGATTTGTTTTGCGCTGTGTGATCGCCTGGGCTGGAACGTTTCCGTGCCACGCAAGGGGGTCCAACTTGCGTGGTCGGGTAGTGCCGCGCGTGTCCGACGTTTCGGAGCACTGCACGACGTCTCGCATCGGCCTCCTGTTGACGATGTTTCTGATGCGGTTGACGATGTTGCTGATGCGGTTGACGATGGTGTCCAGCGGTTTCTTCAAGAAGGAGGAGGAGGAAGGGGGAATGTGAAAGGCAGGAGGTGTGCGAGTTTTGGGTCCACCTGATGTGTGTGTTCCGGTCTGTCCCTAGGTCGACTCAGCTTCAAATGG